GCTCAAAGATTTAAAGTGCAAAAGGCAAGCTATAGAAAAAATATAGGAAAAAGTCTTTATGACCCCAAGTTAGACAAAAATTTCTTAAAAAACAAAAACCTCGAACCATAAAAGAGAAATTGAGGCCAGGCACAGTGGCTCATGCCTGTACTCCTAGCACTTTGGGAGGCCGAGGCAGGTGGATCACGAGGTCAGAAGTTCAAGACCAGCCTAGCCAAGATGATGAAACACTGTCTCTACTAAAAATACAAAAATTAGTTGGGCGCAGTGGCAAGCACCTGTAATCCCAGCTACTCGGGAGGTTGAGGCAGGAGAATCGATTGAACCTGGTGGGACGGAAGCTGCAGAGAGCCAAGATTGAGCCACTGGACTCCAGCGTGGGTGACAGAATGAGACTCTGTCTCAAAAGAAAAAAAGAAATTAATTCCATTATATCAAAATTAATAACTTCTATTCATTAAAATATACTACTAAAAGGGTAAAAAGGCAAATCACATCCTGGAAGACTATCTTTAACATCATATGATTGACAAAAGATTAGTTTATAGACTAAAAGGAATGTTTATTAATAGAAAATGAAAAAGTTAACAACCCAGTAGAAAAATGGATTAAAGACCTTGATATGGTTTGGTTGTGTCCCCACCCAAATCACATCTTGAATTCTCACGTGTTGTGGGAGGGAGCCGGCAGGAGTAACTGAATCATGGGCAGGTCTTCACAAGATCTCCTGGTTTTAAAAGGGGGAGTTTCCCTGGACAAGCTCTCTCTCGTTGCCTGCCGTCATCCCTGTAGGACATGACTTGCTCCTCCTTGCCTTCTGCCATGATTGTGAGGCCTCCCAGCCATGTGAAACTGTAAGTCCAATAAACCCTTTTTCTTGTATAAATTATTCAGTCTTGTATAAATTTATCAGCAGCATGAAAACTGACTAATATAGATAGCGAACAGGTATTTCTTTCTCTTGAAGAGATATTTCACAGAAAGCACACAGGAATGGTCAATTAACCTGAAAAGATGCTCAGTTTTTTGAGTAATCAGGGAAAGGCAAATTTAAACCACAACGAGCTACTATTTCACCCCTCCCAGAGCTGCCGAGGGTGTTCGGCAATGGGAACCCTCATGTCCTGTGGGTGAGAATGTACACTAAAAACTTTTAGAAAACAATCTGACAAACCTAGTCAAGTCACACACGGGAACAGCCTGTAACCCAGCAATTCTAATCCTAAATATATACCTCTGAAGGACCTTTAAATCTTTAAGCCAGGACAGACACCAAGAAATACATTTTATATCCTGACTCAGTATACACATAACTAAAACAAAGTCTTTCATAAGACAACGTTTTTACTGTGTGCACAATACTCTGATTACATTATTCTATTTCATTTAGTGTTGTCCACTACACAGATTTCAAAACCCCCCAATGCACTGGTTTTTGATATGAGCTGCACATCAGAATCATCTGAGGTATTAAAAAAATTAAAAACAAAACCAAAACTGATGCCCAGGGTAAGCCCCTAAAGATGCTGATTGCTGATTCAACTGGAATGAGATGGAGTTTGAGCACAGAGTTATTAAGCTTCCCAGGGGATTCTAATTAGCAATTCAAGAACTAAACTAACAGATCGCCTGAAGCTTGAGAAGCTTTGCCCCAGAGAAATACCTCAACACATCCAGTAAGATGTATGTTCAAGACTATCCACAGCAGCACTACTCATGAAAACAACCCAAATGTCTACAGACAGGAGACTGGCTAAATAAACTGCAGTATATTTACAGTGCAGCAATACACAGCAGTGAAAGTGAACAAACTGCACCATACACATCAACAACTCTCAAAAGCATAAAGCTGAGTGAAAAGGATGTGGAAAAAATAAAGACAGCATAATTCCATTCATAAAAGGTTCCCAAACAGGCATGCCTAAACCACAGATATTTGAGGGTGAATAGATACATCATAAAATTACAATAAAAATGCAGAATTCAGAATGGTGCATATTGGGGACAAAGAGAAGGACAGGATGGGGCATAGCAGATGGGGACTTCAGAGGTACTGATAAAATTCTAGGCTGGGTGGTTGGTACAAGGATGTTTTATATATATATACATAGATACACATTTTTTTTTTTTGAGACAGAGTCTCACTCTGTCCCCCAGACTGCAGTGCAGTGCCACGATCTTGGCTCACTGCAACCTCCACCTCCCAGGTTCAAGTGATTCTCCTGCCTCAGCCTCCTGAGTAGCTGGGATTACAGACACACCACCATTCCCGGCTAATTTTTTGTACTTTCAGTAGAGATGGAATTTCACCATGTTGGCCAGGCTGGTTTTGAACTCCTGACCTCAAGTGATCTGCCCGCCTCAGCCTCCCAAAGTGCTAGGATTAACAAGTGTGAGCCACCGTGCCCAGCCTATATAAATATATACTATATATATTACATATACACTATATATACTACACACATATTATATATATGTATGCTATATACAGTATGCATATATATAGACTATATACTATATAGATAATATACTATTGTGTCTATTATGTCAACACAAAGTAAAAAAGCCAAATTCAATTTGACAGTGGTTATGGCCTATATCTGGGTGTATCCATTTGTCAAAACTGTGTAATTAATATCTGTGCATTTTGATAACTGTAATTTTATCTAAAAAATAAGTGGAGGCAGGATGTTGAAATTAGGTGACAGCATTGATTTACACTATTCTGTCTACTTTGAATTTATTTAACATTTTCAATAACAGAAATTTTTTTAAGAGAAAGAAAAAAAAAGGATAAGGCAAAGTTCATTTTTAGAGAACTTGTAAAGTTTTGAGATCAGCACTCAAAAGTTATTAGATGTTGACTGTAAACACAATAAAACGAAGACTTCAGAAATCACCAACAAAAACTGAATGAATATCAATTACAGATATAAAGAACTGATAACCCTAAATGCAATTAGAGTCCCCGCTAGGAAACCAGTATGTTCACTCCCCCTTTCTTAGGGGGACCTTGAGTTGGCTACAGCAGGTAAGTAATTTGGGGAGAAAGAAATGGAAAGGAGGAGTAGAGGAGGATAAAACTGGAAGATTCTCAAAATGACCAGAGATGGGAGCGCTCTCCTGCATTTACGTAAACGCAGTTCAATTTGCTCACAAACCCTTCCGTTACCCAAAATCAACCACCAGACTGTCCACACTTTCTGTTTCGTTTTACCATCTTTTCCCTTTTCCAATGCCGTCCCCAAGTATACTTTATCTTGAGAATTCCCCTACTCTGCCCTTGATTCTAGCTCTCCATAGGGAAGTAATAACAACTCTTTCAGCGATTTTTTCTGGTGTTAACCTTTATCTTTTTTTTTCCTGACCTCCATAATTTTAAAGACCATGTTCACATTGCCATTTTTAGGTCTTCCCACTTTAAATATACTGACTTACTACTCCAATACACACTTCATTGCCTTCTTCCCATGCAATTTTTGGTTCATTGCTTCATCTTCCTCTTTAACCTTTACCTAATCCAGCCTAAGTACATTTTTCATTCTCAAATGTGTCAAACACACACCTTATCACTTCCTTTAAATAAACTTTAAAAACATACTTCCATTAAGGCTTTTCAGTTATAACTTCACAAGAAATCTTAATAAAACAAAATTAGAAAGAGGTGATATACAATGAAATGAATAGGTTTTCAACTGTTCCATGATTACACTCTATGAATCTAAATTCTCCAAGACTTGATTCTTCATTAATACTAACTCAAATTCTCACTGATTATCTCACTTAAATGTGTATTAAGGCGTATTACATACAAAGCACCATTCATCTTCTACTTGGGTTTACCTCTCCATGTAGAATATTAAGAGGTATATCTTTATCTTCGCATATATATATTTCCAGCCATCAGAGCCATATCACCATGTTTAAGGTGATGAAACAAATGAACCCCTTACCCTTATTCTAAAATCCATTAGTGTCTGTAATCCATTACTTAATTCTAAAATCCAAAAAGCCCTGAAAACTGAATGGTTTTTGCTCAAATTTGACAACAAAACTAATTTAGCGATTTCAACTTATTTGAGACTATTTGTAGCCTTTATCCCACCTTTGTGTGACTAGACCAGTGGTTCTTTTTGTTCTTGAGACAGTCTGGATGGAGTGCAGTGGTATGTCCCTGGCTCACTCCAACCTCCCCGTCCAGGGCTCAAGCCATCCTCCCACCTCAGCCTCCCGAGTAGCTGGGATTACAGCCATGTGCCACCATGCCCGGCTAATTTTTGTATTTTTGTACAGATGGGGTTTTGCCATGTTGCCCAGGCTGGTCTTGAACTCCTGAGCTCAAGCAATCTGCCTGCCTTGGCCTCCCAAAGTGCTGGGATTACAGGCATGAGCCACTGTGTCCGGCCCAGTGATTCTTAATTGGAGTAATTTTGCCCCAGGAGATAGGTCCCTGCAAACAAATTATTTGGCTCCAAGATGTCAACAGCATCGAGGTTGAGAAACCCCGAACTAGATATATTTTGCTGAGGACATCAGTCTGTGAGTACTGAGGCTGCCTCAGACTCTTCTGAGGGCATTATAGAATACCTGGGAAAAGACAGTATTTACTACTCAAGAATCACAAAAACTCTTAATTCCAAAACACAGTTGGCTCCGGGGATTTCAGACAGGGGACTGTGGGCCCTATATCACCATTCTTATAATGGCAGGTCTCCTCAAATGTCACAAATCTCATTAAAATATGGCCAAGGTCTCAGAAAACAAAGGAGATGAATATAGAAATTCACTGGCCGTAACAAGTACGGTGAGAAACAAATTTACATTTTTTTCTCTTTCAAAATCACAATTTAAAATAAACTAGCCTTTTAAACAGTGCCTGTATATTAGCATCGACTGTTTTCATGATCTGTTTTAATGTTCTCACCATAAAAGTTATCAACACGGGTAACATACAATAATAAACCAACACTGAGACTCTTAAAACCACAAGTGCTGTTTACCTTTCTCTGTGCCTGAGAATATGGAGATGATTTTGTGCCTGGGCTTCTTCTCCTCCGGAACAGAGGGCAAAGGTTTCAAACTGTGATTGGCTGACAAGGGGTCTTTGCCTCCAGTGCTAAAGATGGTGCTGCTCATTCGCACAGGAGGTGCTGGGGGCTTGTCTTCCAGTTCTCCGTTATCAGACATGGTTCAGAATTACCAAATGGCCTGAACCTGGAAAAAACACAATTAGTAACAACGCAAAAAACGGCACGAACAAGCAAAAAACAGTCATAACTACCCCTGCCACAATTCCAAATTAGAAAATAGTATCCATTTAGAGTGACATTTGCAAAATTCTGGAAAAATCAATGTGTAAAAGATGTAACTCTCTTGAGGTGTAACAAAGGTAACTTCCCCTAACAAAGTTGGTAATGGTCAGCTGGAAAATGTTTGAAAAGTCACATGGAAACGTGATGGTACTACCAAAAGCTCCTGATCTAACCAACAGATTCTAAGAGACCTTCTCAATGGAAAGACAGACAACATGAAATCTTTTTTTTTTTTATTCCAAAGAGGAAAATTATGTTCTGACCAGCAAATTACAGGATATCTTGGGGAGGTGCACCTCTAGAGCAGAGACAGACGGTTGGCTATGAAGCCTATCAAACAGCACCCCTCTGATCTGATTTCACGCACACCAACTTCGCAGTTACAACTTAGTCTTCACAATAACTTGACTAAAAAATTCTTATTTTTGAGATGGAGTCTCACTCTGTCACCCAGGCTGAGGTGCAGTGACGTGATCTCAGCTCACTGCAACCTCCACCTGCCAGGTTCAAGAGATTCTCCTACCTCAGCCTCCTGAGTAGGTGGGACTACAGCCGCACGCCACCACTCTCAGCTAATTTTTGGTATTTTTAGTAGAGACGGGGTTTCACCATGTTGGCCAGGCTGGTTTCAAACTCTTGACCTCCGGTGATCCGCCTACCTTGGCCTCCGAAAGTGCTGGGATTACAGGTGTGAGCCACGGCATCCAGCCTAATCTTTGTATTTTTAGCAGAGACGAGGTTTTGCTACGATGCCCAGGCTGGTCTCGAATTCTTGACCTCAAGTGATCCACCCGCCTTATCCTCCCAAATTGCTGAGATTATAGGCATGAGCCCCCAAGCCTGGCCGAGGATTCTTAAAACAATGCACTGCTGAGGCAGTATTTGGTCTCTGAAAATCTGACATCCTAATTTACACAAATTAGTCTTTTGAGTTTTGCAGACAATCACAAAGGAGCTTGGCCAATCTGGATACACTGACAAAATTAAATACAGAGCATGGCTGAAAGGCGAGTGTGGCCACATCCCGCAGGTTCTGTGACACCAGCAAATGCCCTGTCCAGGCAGTTGCGTAATCCCTCTTACCTACATGGCTAATTCAGCGGAAACCTCAACCCTGCTTACCCATACTTCTAGGCATGTCTTTAAAAAAGTAGATTACACAAATTTGAAATCAGCAGGAAAAGGGAGAGGATCCCTAACTTACATATGAGTTCTGATACCAAAAAAAAAAAAAAAAAAGGCCATGTTAGGAAACATATTTCCCACTAAACATGGTTTTGATTGGTAACTGGATCTTAATTTGATTCTAAGATTATTTAATGCGTTTAAGCAAATACAACCTTGCATACATACAATGAAAAGAATGCTAACTGTTCAGAACTTATAAATATATTTTTTATTTAGTTTGAATGCTTATACCTGAAGAAAAGTAGGTACAATTTGAGAATATTATAACAAATCTTACAGCTTTTATTTTCCTTGATGGGAGTGTGTCACTAGCACTACGGTGTATTTTCTCTCTCAAAATCATGATTATTTTTTCATTCTACGAAAGAGCAAGAATAAAAAAAGGTAAAGGAGCAAACACATTTCTGGGAGTGACATGGTTTGGCTGCGTCCCCACTCAAATCTCATCTTGAATTCCCATGTGTGGCAGGAGGTCAATGCGCTCAGATCTCATCTTGAATTCCCACGTGTGGCGGGAGGTCAATGCGCTCAGATCTCATTTTGAATTCCCACGTGTGGTGGGAGGGACCTGGCGGGAGGTCAATGAATTATGGGGGCAAGTCTTTCCTGTGCCGTTCTCCTGACAGTGAGTCTCACATGATCTGATGGGTTTAAAAAGATTTCCCTGCACAAGCTCCCTCTCTCTGCCTGCTGCCATCCATGTAAGATGTGACTTGCTCCTCCTTGCCTTCTGTCATGATTGTGAGGCTTCCCCAGCCACATGGAAATGTAAGTCCAATTAAGTCTGTTTCTTTTGTAAATTGCCCAGTCTCAGGTATGTCTTTATCAGCAGCATGAAAACAAAACAGACTAATAGAGGGGGTAACTAGCTAGAGAAGGTCTGGGAAAAGGGAGTGAAAATGATCTCTATTTCTGTGTGTGAAAGACTGGTCTAAGGAAGACATGAGGGCAGGATCTAAGGTGGTGCTGACATGCCCTAAAATGATTCTTCTTAACCAGCTCATGACATCATGCGGGATTTATTTTGTTTTTGGGGTGGGATGCAAGCAGGATGTAACTGGTTATTCCTAAGTATGGGCTACTACCAGTGTGCATTCCAAGAGGGGACTTATCTTGCTACAGACAGAAGAAAGACAAAGCTTAGTAACAACATTGCAGCTGGGCACAGTGGCTCACGCCACACTTTGGGAGGCCAAGGTGGGCGGATCGCTTGAGGTCAGGAGTTCGAGACCAGTTTGGGCAACATAGTGAAACTCTTTCTCTACGGAAAACACAAAAATTAGTCAGGTGTGGTGGCGCATGCCTGTAGTCCCGGCTACTCGGGAGGCTGAGGCAGAGGAATCACTTGAGCCCGGGAGGCAGAGGTTGCAGAGCCGAGATCATGCCACTGCACTCCAGCCTGGGCAACAGAGTGAGCCACCATCTCAAAAACAAAACAAAACAAAAAATAACAAAAAAAACACGGCACAATAAAGTGACTATGAATTCTCTTCTCAAGGCTCCCATATCGATGGAACATGAGTAGAAACTGCCAATGCACCTTCAATAATAATAATAATAAATCAGCTGCACGTCATCCAGTTCTGTGGTTAACAGCGTATGTTCCAGAATCAGACTGCTTTGGATGGAATCCTGTTTCCACCACTGACTTAGTGTGTGACCTTGGGCAAATCACTTCACCAAGTCTCATGACTCCCTGAAGAAATGGCTGACTCTAGGCGTGGGACAGGGAAAATGCAAGATGAGCCCAGAGCACGCTGTAGTGTCAGAAGGCAAGGGAGCACTTTAAAAGGATGAAGAAATGCCAAAGGGACACAGGAAAGATCTTCCATAGGCCAATGCTGGGATGATTTGAGCAAATTAGTATACTATTTGATTATGACCCAAAGTATCAAATAAATATGTTATTCCATCCTGACATAAATAAATGAGTAAGTAAATAAATGGGAGAAAAGGAACAAATCTTTCTTACAGAAGAATTACAAATAAAATAGGTAAATACATCTCCCTCTAGGAGTTTCAGCTTAATCCATGTTTCCTCTTGAGTGAAGGCAAAACTTAGTGACTCGTTTCCAAAGAACAGTGTATGGCAAGGGAAAAATAACTTCGCAGTGAAAAAACCCAGCAAACATGCCTTATTTATTACCCAAGTGACCACAGCTGACATCGCCAGCGACAAGTCGTGACCCTATTACTTATCCTCTCATCTAATGTGATGGGGGACACACTTCGCCTCTGTGGTGTTCTTCCCGCAAACCCACAGCCCTAGTCTAATCATGAGAAAACACCAGACAAACCCCAATTGAGGGATATGCTACAAAACTCCTGACCACTACATTCCTCCAAACTGTCAAGGACATGAAAACCAACACTGAGATACTGTAACAGATCAGAGGAGACAGAACCATAAATGCAACATGACACCCTGGATTGGATCCTGGAACAGAAAAGGGGCACTGGTGAAACAACTAGTAGAATCCAAATAAACCCTAGAATTTAGTTAACAGTAAGGCACCAATACTGGCTTCTTTGTTTTGACATGCGTATCACGGTTATGTAAGATGTTAACATCAGAGGAAGCCGGGTGACAGGTATACAGGAAATGCACTATCTTTGCAATTTGTCTGTACATCTAAAATCATCCCCTAATAAAAACTCTATTAAAAAGGGAGTTAGTAAGTTCCTCAAAAATTAAATACAGAGCTACCATGTGATCCAGCAATTCCACTCCCAGGTATACAGCCAAGAGAACTGAAAACATATGTTCACGCAAAAACTTTATATGAAAGTTCACAGAAGCATTCATAATAGCCAAAAGATAGACCTAAATATCCATCAACTGATGAACGGATATCCAAAATGTGGTGTGTCCATAAGATGGAATATTGTTTGGCCACAAAAAGAAGTACTGATACATGCTGCAAGATGGATGGCCCCTGAACACTAAGTGGAAAAAAGCCATAAAAGGCCACATATTGTAGGATTCTACTTCACATGAAATGTCCAGAACAGGGGCATCACAGAGATGGAAAGGGATTTAGTTCATAAACACGGCTGATTAGCGAGTGGTTGCTACGGAGTGAGGGAAATGAGATGTGGCTGCTAATGGGTATGAAGTTTCTCTGGGGGATGCAAAGGTTCAGTATGAAGACAGCGGAGAGGGTCGCACAGCCTTGTGAATATACTAAAACTACTCAATTGTATACTTTATAAGATGGTAAATTTTAGGCTGCGCAAATTATATCTCAAATTAATATCTACTCACAGAATAAACATCAAATGAACTAACAAAGATAAAAAGCCTTTGCAATTGTTACCATCATTACTACTTATAAGACTCTATGCTAGACATTAGAGAAAATGAAAGACACCCTGTGTCTTCTCTAAGAGTTCATAACCTAGCGGGAAGGACCAACACATACTTGTTTTAAGTTAGGTCAGGCATTCCCCTTATCAGTATCTGCTCTCAACACAGGCCTATCAAAGCTACTCAGCTCCTTCAAAGTAGCCGTTCTCAAAACATTTTGGCCACAATACCCTTTACATTCTTAAACATTAATGAAGAGTCCTAAGAGTTTTTGTTGATGAGGGTTATATCTATCTATATTTACTGCATGAGACATTGAAACAAGTTATTGGCTGGGCACCTTGGCTCACGCTGTAATCCTAACACTCTGGGAGGCTGAGGTCGGGGACTACTTGAGGTCAGGAGTT